TTAAACCCTATAAACCCTAAACCCGAACCCCTATAAACCCTAAACCCCTATGAAACCCTAAACCCCTAAACCCCCTGTAAACCCCACCTAAACCCTAAACCCTAAACCCTAAACCCTAAACCCTAAACCCTAAGGGATCAGGTCCGAGAGAGCTCAAGCGCCTTGGAATCTGCAGGAATCGAGACCGACTACGTGGATTCTTCTTGCGGGGGACGGTTTAGGGTTTAGGGTTTAGGGTTTAGGGTTTAGGGTTTAGGGTAAGAGGCAGGCTGCTGCCTATAAGAAAGGCCCCCTACACGCTTGACTCTATACCCTACCTTAAGAACCCAAAACCTACTTTTTTGTAGGGTCCCTATAAATCCAATATTAGGGTTTATAATAAGAACCTACAAAAAAGTGGGTTTTGGGTTCTTAAGGTATGCATATAATTATATAGAAAAACAGAACTAAACCCCGAACCCCAAAGTGCAGGAGCAACATGCGGTCGTAAAGGTTAGAAAAAGGGTAGGCTGTGGGATGCTAATTATGGGTAAGAGTATGCCAATGCCTCGCAACTTATAATCTACTGGCTGTGTTCCTCATCCGTTTAAGTACGGAATAGGTCCGAGTTGAATTTTGCGCACAATTTGTGCAAAGCTACGTCCAGAAGTTCTAAACCCGGAAGCCAATCCCCAAGATTATCTGAAACCCACTCAAAAACCGGCTAAGCTGAACCCTGAACCCTACAAACAGCTCAAAGTCACCCAAAACCCTTCAAAACCCCAAGAACCCAAGCACTTCAAACCCTAAACTGTCAAAAAGCACCAAAAACGCAAGAACCCAAGAATCCTGGCCCAGGCCTTCTTGCTTCTGAGAGGATCCAAGGCGCTCTCGCGGTTCGCGAGCGGGCAACACCAGGCCGGTCCCTGCAGCTCCTGACAGTTTTTAATATTACTCAGCCAAAACAGAAAACAATAATAATAATAATAAGAATAAGAATAAAAATAAGAATAATAATAATAATAACATACAATAATATAATACGTACAGTAATCATAATAATCGAACTAACACGAACAACACAAACCGTAATACGAATTATGAGGTATATTACAAGACAGAGACAGCCATTGGCAGAACAATTATAAAGGCCCCTACATGACGACGGGGAGGTCGAGGAGATATGGTTTGGGTTAGGGGTTCCTGCAAAACAGGGTTAAAGATTGAAAAATATTGAACATGTACCGGCTTTCATGTTAAGCCCCAAACCCGAACCCTAAGGCTCAAAACCCTAAACCCTAAACCCTAAACCCTAAACCCTAAACCCTAAACCCTAAACCCTAACCCAAAAGCCTCACATCGTCGGGTCTTTGGGCCCAAACACCTTTGTCTCTGAATCTTCATCTTCAGAGCCACCATAGAAGCTCAGGAGTTCGGCTCCTTGCGCCCTAAGCCCTAAGTACCTTAGTAGAAGAGTAGGGTTGAGGGTTTAGGGTTTAGGGTTTAGGGTTTAGGGTTTAGGTTTAGGGTTTAGGGTTTAGGGTTTAGGGTTTAGTGTTAGGGTTTAGGGTTTTGGGTGTACTATAACGCCTATTGAGTCCCAGGTATACACTGGACAAGTAAGAGACCGATCCAGGACTGTCGGATCGCGCCCCAAACATCCGAGTGTCATAACTTAGGCATGTAGAGTTTAGGGTCACCCAGAGGGTCCATATACACTACCATTATGGAATTAGGTCCCAAAAGACCATCCCTAGTATGGTTTTGGGGACCTAATTCCATAATAGTACTATATGTGGACCCTCTTGGTTAGGCATTGGACAGTTTAGGGTTCAGGGGTTTCTGTAGGGATCAATCCGTGTCAGAGGGACCCTAAACCCGAAAGCCCAACTCTGGGCTCTGCACGACAAGAAGCCCGAGCGCCCTTAAATGTGAAGAGGTGGAGCACAAAGGTTGCCAACATAGGGGCGCTAATGTTCAGACTGGGGCTTGGGGGTATAGTACACTAGGCTAACATCCAAACTGGGGTTTGCACCCTAAACCCTAAACCCTAAACCATATTATACCGGACTTCTTTTGAGGAGCCCAGGGGGTATGTTATACTACGGTAGATTTCCTGTGAGGAAGGCAGTATTGTTCTAGCGACCCTAAACCCTTCACCCTAAACCCTCAACCCCAAGCTCTAAACCCTGAAAAACCCTGGACCCTAAACCCCTAAACCCTCGACCCTATAAACCCCATAGACCTTAAACCCTGGACCGTAAACCCTAGTCCCCGAACCCCTGCCAGTATTACTCTAGCGATCCGCTTGGGCCGCCACTTTCCTGCGGAGACGTGAGTCGCTGGCGAGATACGCCTTCAGGGGTTTACGGTGGAGAGTATAGGGGTTTGGAGTTGAGGGTTTAGAGTTTAGGGGTTTAGGGGGGCGGGAATTTGCGGACTTCGTCGGTTTAATGTGGAGGGGCCAGGTCTTCCATGAACAGCAATACTCTAGGGTTTAGGGTTTAGGGTTTAGGGTTCAATACTCCACTGGAGTCCCTCCGTAGTTCAGCACCAAGACCAACAAACCCTAGTTCATCCATCCTAGCTCTGTACGATAATACGGCTCTTCTCGCCCCCTTTGTCAGACCCTAGCAAACCCAAGCACCCTAAACCCTAAAACCTAAACCCTAAACCCTAAACCCTAAAACCTAAACCCTAAACCCTAAAACCTAAACCCTCAAGCATCCCAAGCCTTTCAGATTCAGGCCCATTTATTCACGATGCACCCATGTCAACCCTTTCAGATCGTGAAGGCCCGCTTCAGTCCCCCATGGCAAGCAACCATTTTTAGGGTTCCTTATTTAGGGTTTAGGGTTTAGGGTTTAGGGTTCCTTATTTGGGTTTAGGGTTTAGGGTTTCGGGTTCCTTATTTTGGGTTTAGGGTTTAGGGTTTAGGGTTCCTTATTTTGGGTTTAGGGTTTAGGGTTTAGGTTTCCTTATTTTGGGTTTAGGGTTTAG